GGTTCACCCCTCTGCACCTGGTGGAAGTTATGGCTACTACTCGATCTGCTGTCTGGTTTCTGGGTTCCTACTTCCTGCTGCTGTTGTGCAGCAATGTTATAATTTTATTTAATTTTTTATTTTTGAAAAATCTTTGAAAGAAACTACGCCGTTTCATTTTGTGACAAAAAATTTAAAATATTCCATAACCAAACAATGCGGTTTCATTTAGTTGACTAAAAAAATAAATTAAAGTGGGGACCATTGGTTCCCCCGTTACCTCTGCCTTCATGCCATTAAGTCCCTCCATTCCCTTTTGAAAACTAATTAATAGCATATAGGCACACATAAAGTGTGTGAAATTTTTTTTTTTTTTTTTCCTTTTTGAAATAGAAGGATAGAGGAAGGTAGTGATAGAGAACGTGAGAGTGGGAAGGGTTTCTTTTTTTTTTTTCAATTAGCGATATGTTAGGATTACATGTAGGTGAGACTTTGAAAAAAAATAACAAAATTTGGTTGTGTGAAATTACATTTCTGCCCCATATTTCTTATTCATGTTCTGTTTTAATTAAAGGGTTAAACTAGTAATTTCATAAGGTTTTGGTTAACAATGAATGTTTTATTAATTAGTAGAGATTAGTAGAGATATAGAATCATAGTTATTGATTATTTATATTTAATTAATTGAATTGAATTTTGGTTTATTGAATAGTTTATATGATTAATGGTATTGATTAATTGAATTTTTGGTTTAATTAGTTAGTAGTCATATATTATATTTTACTCTAGGGTTAAGAGTCTAAGACTCTTTTTTTCTTATTATACAGTGACATAATAAAACGGTACTATGAAACAGTGCTTAAATCATTCTTCAAATATTCCAGTTAGTCCTTCTTCGAATATTTCGGCTTGTCCTCTTTCGAATATTTCGAGTAGTCCTACTTTGAATATTCCTTATATTCTTTCTTCAAGTATTCCGGGTAGTTCCTAACAAAGTGAGGTCACTGAGTTTACATGGATAAAGATGTATTTATTTTTATTGATAATGAACCAATTATGCGACGTTTACATGAAACCTCACTGGCAATAATTGTAATTTGTTTGTATTGATAAATTATGGAAGACATTACTATATAAAAGGATTTGATTGTTGCCATTTTTTTTAACCTTGCACTCTTAAGTTCGCCTCTCCCCTCGACAGTTCCTAGCTTCGCCAATGGGTGTACTCAGCATCTTGTTTGCTTTCCTTTCCTTTTGTAATTTGGTTTGTTGTTGTTTGCCCCTGGTGGCTTTCTATTTCACTTTGACTCCAGCTCTGGTAATTATATTTCTAATTATCTCAACAAAAAAAAAAAAAGTGTTATGGAATTGAAAAATGAAAACGTTAGGTATAATAATCTTCATTGTTCCTTGGGCTTCAATTTGGTATATTAGATTACTAGTTTTAGTTGACATTTGAGAATAGACGGAGCCCTAGAATCCGGCCGACCCAAGGCCTAAAACCAGGTTGACCAGACCCAACTATTCTGAACCTAGATCTGAACCGAATATGACCAGGACCCAACCCTGGAACTCGACCCAATGACCCATAAACCGAACTCGACCCGTTTTCTAATTGGATCCAGAATATTCCTTGTGTTCACTTTTACGAAATTTTTCCAAAAACCCTCCTAAACTAATTTCAACGCCCAGAATCCGTTTTTAGTGTCCGTTTAGTGAAATTCTGAAGTTTTAACATAGTTGACAGGCTCAGCATCTCGGTGGACTTTTTGGGTCAACTGTTGACTTTTTACGAATTTTTCCTGAGCCCCCTCTTAGGATAATTTGACGCCCTGAATTCAAAGTCGCCCTACGTTTTCCTAAATTCAATCATTTTAGTAGAGTTTTACTAATTGGTCCCTTTATGTGCTTAGGTGCGTTTGTTAGTGGAGATCCCGTCCACCCTAGTTGGAACGACTCTTCGATGACAGAGTATTTGTGAGTGGACCCCTTCTCATGTTGCATGATTTTTATTTGATACTAGGCTTGCATTCATGAAAAACATGATTTTACATTTCACGCATTATTTATGATTTATCGAACTTACATTTTATGAAAGGTTTATGAACTATTGCTTTTATGCCTATAAGATATTAAGGATTTACGCATATGATTTATGATGTTTGAGCTTTTAAGCTTTGAGGTTTGATTTGGAAAGAATACAATTTATGTTTTATGTGCTTAATTAGTGGGTAATCATACAACACATACACACAACACAAGTATGGCCATAGGATACAGTTGATGAGCAGCGAGATATTTATGACATACTCCCAGCTTCACTGGTGAAACCAGTGTCGGATAGCTTCACTAGCCACGGCTAGTGTTGGTGTGTTATGTTATATTTTCTTCTTTGGCGTAACCCAGAGTCATATAGCTTCACCTTCGAGTGATAGGACCTACCATATTTCTTCACTGGCGTAACCCAGTGTCGTACAGCTTCACCTTAGGGTGATGGTTATACTTTTGGGCAATTATGATACCCCTAGTCGAGTACATCATCGTGTTGATTTCCGAGACTCGTTGGTTTTGCCTTCAGGCGCTTTACTACCACTTTTAGAGATGATTTTAGCATACTAACATTTTTATAGCATGTAGAGTTTTTAGAAAAACATAGTATGTAATATTATATATATGTACCTACTATGTAGTATTATATATGTGTTTTCAAAACAAGGGGTTATTATGTTCAGAAAGAAAAGTGAGGTTTCTTATTATTATTATTATTATTATTATTATTATATTATTATATTATTATTATTATTATTATTATTATAAACTTTGGTCCGTTCACATTTTGTTTTGCGCCCCCTTCAGGGCTTAGAATCGAGGCATATAATCCCGACATCAAGACATAACCGCATCAGTGTCTTCGAGCTCTCTCAATATGGGACCCAGTCCTTTGTTCATATCTTTTATAATATTCCTTTCTCAATATTCTAGATTAATTGTATGCTTTGAACACGTTCCCACATCCACACATTTTCATTATATTTAAATTTACTTAATTTATTTACATTCGTCCTTCCTTTATAACTTGCATGCATACTAAAATGGCTTCGTCACCCTCGGGTGTCGGCTAGCATGTGTCCATCCTGATATTTGGGGATATTGGGGCTGGGGCGTGTCAGAATATCACAAGCGATTAGTAAGAGTTCTAATTGTCCATTACCTCGCTAACTGGAACCTAATGGATTGTACTCCATGTTCGGTAAAGATTGAAGAATACAACGGAGTTGAGTAAGGAAAATTAAATGGTTTAATTGTTTATGGGTAGGATTAATTAATATGTTAATTAATCAAATGATTAAGTTTGTTTTATATCTTGAGTTACTATTGGGCTTCAAGACCCAATGGACTTCGAACTGTCAAACACAGTAACTTAAATTGTATGACAACTTAAAAATCAGAAGGCTCAAAAGTCCAATAACCCTGAGAGGCTGGCTATACAAAAAGAGACGATTAGTTAGAGTATTCTTTGAGTCACTCGATTGAGAGACTATATAAGGAACATTATAACCTTATCACCCTAATTTAGGGCTTTTATATGAAGAAATAAGAGAAACATAACTCTTTCTCTTCTCTCTAAGAGGTCGGCCACTATAGGAAAGGAAAACTAGCATATCCCTCTACCTTGGTCACTCATCCCTTCGTCACATCTCTCCTTGGTGTGAAGACTTAGAGGTTTCTTCTTTGGGAAGTTTTGGAGATTCCCATTGCACCATCCAAATCTAAGAAGCCAAAAGATCCAAAGGAGCAAAAGATAGCAAAGAAATGAAAACCCTCACTTTGGGTGAATAGCCTTTGCAAATGTGAAGATGAACCACAAAGGTTCTCAACTCTCTCTTGTAAATTTTTTTTTTTTTTTTTTTTGCATTTTTTCATATTTCTACATTAATTATTATGAACATTTTAATTTTGCACTCAAATAAAAAATACTATGCATGAGGGTTTGGTGAGTTTTACAAATCTAAAGAATAATGTAACCATCGTTTAGGCACGGAGGATGTAATCATGAGCGTTTATATATTCTTTCACATTTTTCACATTTGTACATTAATTATTATGAATTTTTATTTATTTTGATTATGAATTTTTATTTATTTTGAACTCCCCTAAAAATAATATTCAAGAGGACTTTTAGGGTTTAAAAATACAATTTGCTCATACTCAAAGCGTAGAGGATGCGATCACGAGCTTTTGCATATTTTTTTCACATTTTTCGCACTTGTAAATTAATTATTATAATTTTTTAATGTGTTTTTACTTTGATATTTTTATTTTTTTAATGTGTTTTATAATGTTTTAATCTAATTTTTAAGAGTATACAACATTTTATGAGTATGATTTTATAAGACAAAGTAAAAAACTTAGGTAGGTGCAAGTGGCCGTCTACCACAGTGGTGGAGAGAAGTGTGGCCCTTGCACCTGGTGTGGGTTCAAACTCTGTTGGCTCCCTAATCTAACAATTCTATAGTTTGACGAGAAAAAAAAAAAAAACTTTATTAGGTTGTTGACTCTAAAATTGAAATTCTGCCTTTTTACCTATACTAATACTATACTAGTTGATTTGATTTTTGGACAATATGTCAAGTACAATTTATCGCAGTAATATAATAAGAAACTCTGATAATATGAATAAAAAAATTAATTTATATAGAAGATAATACAAATAGTACATATTTAACTTAAAAATTATCAAAATAATTTTTTTTTTTTAACAAGTCGAAATAGATTACCCACGTGTTACTCACGTGTAAACCCATTATTAATGGGTCCTTAACGAATGATCTGATAACAACCGATTAGTTATCATGTTGACTCGAAATCAATTATTTTCGTGTCGTTTTCATGTTGTGTTAACGGATCGTACAAGAAATTGTTAGGTCCACCATAGATGATCCATTGTTGTGGGGTTGTTATATCATCATTGTGCGGTCAATATATGGTCTATATGAGGTTGTTATTAAACAATGACTATTTCTGCAACTAAATTTCAAAAGTCATCATTCTTTGTAATTGCCCAAAATAAAATGAGAGAACAACAGAGAGTGAATAATCTAAGTTAAGAAACTGAATCTCTGAAATTCTCTGTGGAATGTGCATTTGGGAGAAGAGAAACAACTAAACAATCAGAGAGAAGCAAAGAAAGGAGGCTGCGAGTGATCCAAAACAGTACTTACCATGCCCATTACTCCACAGCCTGTAACAACTCTTGGAAACCTCTTAAGAATCCGACAATTGAAGATAATTCCAAGCACCCCATGTGAGTGAGACCACTCTACTCTTCTCTTTTTAGTCTCCCTCCTCCCATATCTCAGTTTTCACTGCGCTATCTCTCTGCTTTCTGCTGCTCTCACTTTCACTGCTATTTGTTGCCACTTTCCCGATAAAATTCCAGCTTGAATTTTCTGGGATTTCTCCAAAATCATGTGGGATTCTGAGACTGAGTCGGTTGGAGGGAGAGATTACAAGAATGGAGGTCTCTGTTCATCCAAGCACAATGTTAAGACTGATGGCTTTGAGCTCAAAGGCAACTCTTGGTATGTACTATGAACTATCAAATTATTACATTAATTAATTGAAGTTTGATTAAATGAGATTTTAATTGTCCAGTGTGCATGCTTTGTTGTGGATATCAATTAGCAAAGTTGATTAAAATATTTGGTGGGTTTGTTTGAATTAATAGGTATGTAGCAACTGATATCCCAAGCGACCTGCTAGTTCAAGTTGGGGATGTAAATTTTCACTTGCACAAGGTATAAAACTAAACTTCATTCGAACCTTTAATCCGAAATCTTACTAGTCTAATATTTTTATTACAAGTATACTTTAAGAGAATGAAATTTTATGTTTGTGTTATCCAAGTATCCCCTGCTTTCAAGGAGTGGAAAGATCAACAGAGTCATATATGAATTACGCAACCCGGACCTGAGTAAGATGTGTTTGGATGATCTTCCTGGTGGACCACAGGCCTTCGAGTTAGCTGCGAAATTCTGCTATGGAATTGCTGTGGATCTAACAGCAGCAAATATTTCAGGCTTGAGATGTGCTGCAGAGTACCTTGAAATGACAGAGGACTTGGAAGAAGGCAACCTTATCTTCAAAACTGAGGCTTTTCTTAGCTATGTGGTTTTATCCTCATGGAGAGACTCCATTGTGGTGTTGAAAAGCTGCGAGAAGCTGTCACCGTGGGCTGAAAATCTTCAAATTGTCCGAAGATGCAGCGAGTCTATTGCTTGGAAAGCTTGTGCCAATCCAAAAGGGATAAGATGGGCATACACTGGAAAGCCAACAAAAGTTGCTAACCCAAACTGGGGTGACATGAAGGACTCAAGTCCAAGTAGAAGCCAGCAGGTCCCTCCTGATTGGTGGTTTGAAGATGTTTCGATTCTAAGGATCGATCATTTTTTCAGAGTTATTACCGCAATTAAGGTAAAGGGGATGAGATTTGAACTGATTGGAGCTGCAATGATGCATTACGCATCTAAGTGGCTTCCAGGTTTGATCAACGAAGGCACAGGTACAGCTGATGAAGGAAGCAACAGCAGCAATAGTACAAGTAATAGTAGCGGTAGTTGGAAAGGTGGACTTCATATGATTCTGGCAGGAAATAAAGATGAGTCTTCAAGTGTTCAGGCCAAAGATCAACGGATGATCATTGAGAGCCTTATCAGCATAATCCCACCACAGAAGGATAGTGTCTCGTGCAGCTTCCTTCTTCGGCTTTTGAGAATGGCAAACATGCTGAAAGTAGCACCTGCTTTGGTTACTGAGTTGGAAAAACGGGTGGGAATGCAATTCGAACAGGCTACTTTGGCGGATCTTCTTATTCCTTCTTACAATAAATGTGAAACTATGTACGACGTGGATCTTGTTCAAAGGCTTCTGGAGCACTTTCTGGTTCAAGAACAGACGGAAATTTCAAGTCCAAGCCAACAATCTTTCCCTGGGAAGCACTATGATGACCTTCAAAGGTCTACTGGTCCAAATGCTAAGATGAGGGTAGCTAGGCTTGTTGATAGTTATCTTACAGAGGTGTCCAGAGATAGAAGCCTCTCCCTAACAAAGTTTCAGGTACTGGCAGAAGCTTTGCCCGAGTCTGCAAGGATCTGCGATGATGGACTTTATAGAGCAGTTGATTCCTATCTTAAGGTACATCCTTCTCCCGAAATTACTGTCCTGGAATTGCTCCTTCTATTTTGCCTGTTCATGATCTTACAAAAAATTGCCTTTTCATGCATGTTTTGAATACACATTGAAGGGGAAAAACATAGATGTAAAGTTTGCAGCGTAGAGAAATGTATCAATCACATTATCTAGTGCAGGCAAATTTTAATCTATGAGTGAGCCTTTTTAATTAACATGGATGTGTGCTTGTTTTAGCTTCGATAAATGGGAGACATTACTAATTTGAATATTTGAGCCATGTATTGCTAATTTACTAGTAGTTTTACATTTTTGGAAGTGAACAAAATGCTTATATGTGATGCACTGATATCTCTAGCAAGTGCTGCAAGTCGACTTGTGTGATGATGACTTGAAAGCACAACTCAACAATGTCATTTGCCTCTGGTTTATAGACTTGATGAACAATCGTTGAGAAATTGCTTTTGTTTCTCTCATTAATTGTTACGCCATTTTTGTTGCTGAATTGCTTTAGATTAAGAGTTCTCATCTCTTTATCAATTTAACAGGCCCATCCAACACTTTCTGAGCACGAAAGGAAGAGGCTTTGCCGGGTGATGGATTGCCAAAAGCTATCAATTGATGCCTGCATGCATGCTGCCCAAAACGAAAGACTCCCATTGAGAGTGGTAGTGCAGGTCCTTTTCTGTGAACAAGTTAAAATAAGCAATGCATTAGCCACAAGCTCCCTCAAAGAAGCTGGAGACTCTCAGTATCAGCCAATGGTTTCGAATCGAAAAACACTACTCGAAGGGACCCCGCAGTCGTTCCAAGAAGGATGGGCTGCCGCTAAAAAAGACATTAACACGGTTAAATTCGAACTGGAGAGTGTGAAAGCCAAGCACCTAGAGCTCCAGCATGACATGGAGAATTTGCAGAGACAGTTTGATAAGATGTCAAAGAATAAACAGACATCGGCATGGAGCAGTGGATGGAAGAAACTAAGCAAACAACTCACAAAGAACACAAATTTAGAAAACCAGAACATCGGGCCGGAGCACACAACGGCTGCAGATCAGCAGACTACAAAGACACCTAGGAAGTGGAGAAATTCCATCTCGTGAAAATAAGAACGACAGATTGAAGGAAATAGATATACAGCTACATGTTTGACTAAGTGTTCCAAAGGTTTTTTTCTCTTTTTTTTTGGTTATCCAAGGGTTTTTCTTTCCTTTTATTTTATAATTTTTGTTATTTATTTCAACAGGAATTGCGAGATTTCTTTTCTGGAGCAATTGTTCCCAGAGCCTACCTGATGAACCTCAGTATCACTGAAATTTGATTGTACTATGGTAGTGATTTCTGCATTTCTCAATGCTGAAATCTATTTGTTTTTTCTTTTTCACTAAGGGGGAGAGGCAGGGTGAAATACCCTGACTCAAATAGAGTGTGCATTACACAGATGACGCTTTAGTGTAGTGGTGGAAAACAATGATGCTCATACACTCTGATGCAGGTTTGATCTTTATCGATTTCTCTGTTATCTAACAACTAATAATGTAACTCACTTTTTGTTTGTCCAAAAAAACAAAAAAACAGAAGGTTTCATTAATTAATAGAGATTACTAATAGTATTCTAGACTAACCACATAGATAATCTACCACTTGCTTCTTATTTCAAAAGTGTTATTAAACCAAAATATCACCGCGACTGTATAACCGATTCATCTAAATCTTTCTCTTCCCGTTGCCCTTGCGAGTATAGGCACTAGGTCAGCATTACCTTTTGGAAGGGTTTTCATATGTCTCTGGAAATTTGACATATCCGAAAGAATTGACCAGTCACCACACCAATCATAGAATTTGAGTCCACAACACAAGTCTGATTTTATGGGACCACACCAAAACTCAAGAGAGACCAAAAACAGTGTAGAAAGAAGAAAACAATGGCGATAAGATTTCCACTTAAAACATTATCTCATGTTGCAACTAAAGTGGTTTTACTGAGGTAACATGTCGGAGGTCTAATTGTTTCGAATGTCCTGGAACACATTTTTCCAAGTCATCTCTATACATCTATGTTACGAACTTTCTCTTTCCTGATTGTCCATTTACAATTAAATTTACATATTATTTGGTCCCGAGATGTGAAATCGACATATTTGGTTTCAATAATTCATAGATGATCAAGTTGAGAGTAAAAAAATAAAAATAAAATAAAAAAATTCGATGATCATATTGAAAAGTAAAATACGTCACATGTCAAAGACGAATTCTCTGATCATAAAGATTGTAAAGAAACATATAAAGGTGACAATTTTAGAATTTGGGTTTATGGACTGGCTCTCACTTACCACCAATGAAAATTCAAGTACCTTCAAAGATTTGGTTATCTGAATTTTGACTTTGGCACTCCACACAGAAACAACGGCGGCCTAGAACAAAGCAAACTTCAAAGAAACCAGCCATGGGTTGAGTCTATGGAACTTCTATGGAGCTTGGGAGGAGAGGGCAAAATATGGTGGCTTTGGGGTGATTGTAAGGGACAACAGAGGGGATTTCATGGCAGCTTTCTCAGGTGGTCATGTGGACGTGGTTTCACCGTTGTGAGCGGAGTTGATTGCTGCAAGAAGGGCCGTCATGTTTGTAGAGGAGTCGCAAGCTACTGAAGTAGAATTTGAAGGAGATTCTGTCTTGCAATCGCTGCTATGCAACAACGAGGAGATGATATACCTAATTTGGGACAGATAAGAGAGTGGTGGATATAGCCCATTTTAGAACTCCAAAGAATCGTTGGGGCTTTATGAAAGAATCTCTCATAACGAGGAGCTATATCTTTCGGGCTCTATATGTGCCTATATCTTTTGGACGTGCTATCTTAAATTTCTTTTAATGAACCCTTCAACCTAAAAGTTCAAATTATGATAAAGTTAGATTTCATTACTTATGAATCATTCATTGGATTAGATTTTCTTATTTCAATTTCATCCTTTGAAAGAAACAAACCCCAACTTCGCCCTCTAAAATTATATGATTTTCATGTATAACACAACAATTTACCTAACACCAATTGGTAAATTAGTATCATACAATTTAGAAAAAAAATTTGAAAATTTCACCCACCAATGCCCATGAACGTTAAATCAATTTGAAATTTTAATTCTTATGGAATTTAAAAGAATTATTATTTACCTAAATTGCAAGAAAAATAAGTAAGAAAAAATAATTAAAAATAAGAATAAAAGGAGAGTATAAGTGTATTCACAAGTGGAGGGAAAGTGATAGAATTTTGCTCACATGGGTTGCTACTTTTTTTGTGGGATCCACTGTGTTTTTGGGCTGGATGTAGCCCGATTTTATGCTACCCAAGAAAGGAAGTTGCTAGCCCCAGTGGTGGATTTAGTCCTGTTTTCTGGCTCATTGGGGATGAAATTTCTCGTTAAGGCTTGAAATGTAGTAGCCTTATGGAGGATAGAGCCCCTATTGGGGATGCTCTAATTAATGATATTCGCTCCTTCCTTCAAGCTTGCTCTCAATCCAAACTCAGTCATGTTAGACGAGAAGCAAATGAGGCAGCACATAGGCTTGCAAGAGCAAGAATTGTAGAGCAACATAAGGTGGATTTAGTTCAAGGAAACGGACATGATAACAGACATCTTGATTAAGGATAGTTCTATTAAGTGATTACATTCTTTTCTCTTCTATTATGTAATGGTGGCCTCTTTCTTTCTTGATTATGGTTTGAAAGTCCTCACAAGATTTTTTTTTTTTTAGAGGTTCACTTCTTTTTAATGTTCTATCCTTTTATACCTATTTTTTTTTTATCACCATCTTGATGATTATCGTACCTTTTCATAAAAAAGATTTAGCCATTTCAACCAAAATTTCCAATTCTAACTAAACCCCAATTCCCTTCTACAAGAGTTCAAATTTACTGTACCACAAACCCAGTGACTAGCATGACAAGCTTGTACATTTGATATCTATCATCTCCAAAAAGATTCATCTACAAAGCTTCAACCTAAAAGCTTCAACAAAAAAGCTTCACCTCCAAAACTTCAACCAAAAAGGTTCGCCTACAAAACTTCAACCTAAAAGCTTCACCTACAAAGCTTTAACCGAAAAGTTTCACCTACAAAACTTCAACCAAAAAGTTTCACCTACAAAACTTCACCTACAAAGCTTCACCTTCAAAGCTTTAACCAAAAAGCTTCAACACTACAACATGTAAAACGCTTCACACACTCTTGATCAAGATAGTGTGAAGCAAAATCAATTTTTGGTGTCCTAGGAATAGATTCAACTATTCAAGCTATTTGCCCAAACAAAAACCTACATCCAAAAATCTACAATCAATAAACCTACACCCATTAAACCACAACCATAAACCTTTACCTATTAAACTATTTTCCAAGCACAAACCTTTGCTACAAATATTAAAAGTAAAAAATTCACAAAAACCCAACATTTTAGCAATCTATGCAACCACAACCATATGAACAAAAAACTTTAAACATAAACTTTCTTATCCTTTCTCTCTATTCACGAGGTCCCTGTTGCATATTATATAATTATTTGTATGCAACTCAAGTATATTATAAACAAAAATACAATTAATTTCATGTATAATACAAGCTTGGAAGATGTACTCCTCCATATACAAATTTACAACAAATACAGTCAAGAAGCATTGAATATTGTGCTAAGGATTGATGACAAAATTCAGAGATCCTTTTGTACATTTTATGGTGACTATATCAGATCCCATATGTGCCAACAATTTACTCCACCCAACAGATTAAGAAAATATTCAAACAAAACCATGAAAGACCCCCACCTTTTAGTCCAAGTGACCCCTCCCCAATGATTTCTCTAGCAGCAGCACCCATCAAAACCTAGAAATAATCACAAAAGCCCCATTGTGCAACCACCTCACCCACTGGCCCCAGCCAGCCACAGTCTCACTCTCGTCCCGCGCCCCAGACCTGCGACACCCTACCTCTCTGAGCTGCGATGAGACAACCTACCCCACCCCACGGTGACTCCCTCTACAACCTTCAACCTAAGATCACAGCAAGCTTTCAATTTGCTGATGTCTTGAAAATCAAAGCTACCATTATTTCCCCGTGCCCCAGACCTGCGACACCCCTAAAAGTGTAAGCTTTGAATAGACCTGCAACACCTAGAACATTACAAGCATTGAACAGACCAGCGACACCCACAAAATTACCAAGCCACCCACAGTCTCACTCCTTCCTCGTGCCCCAAACCTACAACCACTGCAAGCTTGCAACTTCAGCCCTACACCACGGCACCAACGCCTTCACGCATGGACTTATAGTGAACTTGGGATCTCCACTCCAATCCCACCTGATGGTTTGTGAACGCAGGGACTCGAAAACCACAAATTTTGGCTACTTCTAAACTGAACACGGCAGCCTGGTTACGATGGGTAAAGTCGAAGAGGTGTGGGACGGCGTGTTTAGACGGGACAACCTTGTGTTTGTTTTCTACACATGCTAAAGGAAACAAGGAAGAAGACATGAGTAAAAAAATAGGGAGGCTAGGTTTTGTTTCAAGGAAAAAATTTTGAGGCACTAGGCCTCCCCTTCGCTGGGCTCGAAAACAACAAATAAAAAACATTAAATAAATATAATAAAAAAAGATGAAGCCTGAAATTTGTTGGGCTTCCCCTTGGGTCTAGGAAGTTTTTATTAAAAAAAACAAAAATCAACAACAACAACAACAACAACAACAACAATGGAAAAGAAGAAAAGATTGGGCTTCTAAAAAATATAAATATGTTGGGCCTCTGTGAAGCTCAAACTAGGTGGGCCTAGGCTTACAAGGTTTTAGGCCTCAAAACTTAAAAAGAAAGTCTTGGGCTACAACTTGAAAGGAAGAGTGAGCAATATTAAAATGTTTCATTGTTTTTACGATTTGGCAACGAATTACACACCTCTTTGAGCCTCGTTCAAAGACTTGGGGAACTCTTACTATATGCTACTACACTTCGATACTCAGAAGTTTCGTGATTACTTAGTTGAATGGATTTTTCAAATCCTCAACCGAGAAGCTTTCCTCACTCGGGAACTTAAGGGAGCACTATTTGTACCATACTTGATCAATCCCAAAACTACCAAGCATCAGTCAACTTCATACCTTTAAGGACCAACTGACGGGCTCATGCTAAGACACCCCTACCAAAGCACAAGAGTTTCCCTCGATCCAGGAGGCCAATCATAGCATGTCATATGTCAACGTCAAAATAAAGCTCATAGAGTCCCACATCGACCGTAGACGAAAGCTGGAGAGTCTCCCAAACTATAAAAGAAGACCATTCTCCTACAGTTAATCGCTAATGTCATTATCGTACTTAACTAGTCATTAGAATCCACT